CCCCCCCCCAACCCCCCTTTTTTTTAATCCAAAAAACCTTTGCATTTCCCCCCCCCTCCCCACCTATTTGCCGAATCGTCCTACGTCACTGTCCCTATCCCCCCCCCCCCGCCCCCCTTTTCTACTTTCTCCTGTGTTGCAGTCTTGCAAATGCGATATACTGGCTCTACACAACTGGTGTACTGGCTCTACACACCTTGTGTACTGGCTCTACACACCTGGTGTACTGGCTCTACACATGTCATCCAGCTTGGTGTGATTATAGAATAATTGAATAAAACAGACCAAAAATTGTATTTATTGAAACCTTAAATTTATACGCGTCTGTCTCAACGTACTAGGGAATTTACTGGAGGGAAAAAAAGGCAATGAAGATTAAAGAGCCAACAGAGATTCTCAGTCTTCCCGCGTCAATAAATGTAATGAAGAGATATGGCCACAACATGCACGGATTGTAAGAATTCATGGCAAAATGCATTGCGATAACAGATATACGAATCTACTGACGTCACTGAAATCAATGAAGGAATGTGGATATGTCATATTCTGCAATTATACGAGGATAACCTCATGGTGATAACAGATGTTGATTACGGTACAATCAGCTTTGCCATCCGTCCGTGCAGTTACGGAGTCCGTAAAAAATGTGATCTGAAAAGACTGGTCCCAAAATGTCAATACGAACTTTAGGATGTCCGCAATTGTCCATATCAACTTTAGGATGCCCGTAAATGTCCATACGAACTTTAGGATGTCCGTAAATGTCCATACGAACTTTAGGATGTCCGTAAATGTCCATACGAAGTTTAGGATGTCCGTAAATGTCCATACGAACTTTAGGATGTCCGTAAATGTCCATACGAAGTTTAGGATGTCCGTAAATGTCCATACGAACTTTAGGATGTCCGTAAATGGCCATACGAACTTTAAGTTGTCCGTAAATGTCCATACGAACTTTAGGATGTCCGTAAATGGCCATAAGACTTTAGGATGTCCGTAAAAAAATTATACATTTTAATCATTTCTTTTTAAAGCGAAACAATACGGAAAAAATCTCATCGTTTCTGATGTTTTTTGCTATAAACTTGTAAGAACACAATGAGTTGGTGTCAAATATCATAGGTGTAAATTTTTTTTTTAATTTTAAGCTGCATAGTTTCAACTAGTTCATAAAAAAAAAATATTTGTAAAAAAAAAGTTCTTTTAAGAAATGTTTAGGAGAATTAGAATATTTTCCCTTAAATTCTAGTTTATCGAGTTGGCAACTCTACAAAGGAAAGTGTGTGTGTGTGCGTGTCTGCCCCCCTGGGGGGGGGGGGTGAACTCGTGACTTGAAAATAATATAAATGAAATAGTGTTTAATGCAGTGGTTCTCAATCTGTGTGTCAACCGGTGGATTCGTTTGGAGTCAGCATTGTTCGGAGAGTCCTCTTTGTTTGCGTCACTCATAATTTTTTTTTTTAGGACTTGCGGTTGGGTAGATGGATTTTGTGACTCGTGGCTAGAGTCATTGGTGCGTCTTGAAGAAACACCTTTTCCAAACTACAATAAATGAAATACAGGCAATGTGCTTTAAAACCTGTCAAGGTGGATCAAGAACTACAAACCACACACCCCCCCCCCCACACACAAAAAAAAATNTGCGTCTTGAAGAAACACCTTTTCCAAACTACAATAAATGAAATACAGGCAATGTGCTTTAAAACCTGTCAAGGTGGATCAAGAACTACAAACCACACACCCCCCCCCCCCACACACAAAAAAAAATTAAGTCAGGATCTTTCGCTGGTTATCTTTCTTGGACAGGCCAACTTTCCCTTTTTTTTGTTCTGATGATTACTATTAGTTCTAAGCTACCGGTAAGTCAAAGAAAGTTTCCAATTGAAACATTTAGATTATTTAAACACACATCGATATGAAGTGGGTATGAAGATTTAGATTATTCAAACACACATAGATATGAAGTGGGTATGAAGATTTAGATTATTCAAACACACATAGATATGAAGTGTGTAGAAGCATTTAGATTATTCAAACACACATAGATATGAAGTGTGTATAAACACTTAGATTATTCAAACACACACAGATATGAAGTGTGTAGAAACACTTAGATTTTTTAAACACACATAGATATGAAGTGTGTAGATTGTAGATGCATTTAATCTCATTGGAAAAAATGAATTGAGTCTTGAAGAATTTTTAATCAACTTTTTTATTTTTGTTTTAAAAATGTAATTGATTTTAGAAAAATAGAATTTTCTTAAGGCTTAAAAAAAATTGTAAAAATAAACTTGGTCTTTCTAAAAACTTCTCATTTGTAATTATCATTGGTAAATACGTTTAGGGTGACGCGCAGCAGACATATGGTCCGTCAGCCCAGTTTGTCAAACATGGACATCCAGGTCAGGCTGACACACGTCGATCATCTGGTTTACTTCCGGTCAGGCTGCTACACATCAGACAATAGGTCATGTTGACACACGCCAATCATCCGGTATAGATCGTGCCAGGCTGACCTACATCAGACGGTAGGTCATGCCGACACACGTCAATCATCTGTTCTACATCAAGTAAGGCTGACACACATCAGGTCAGGTTGACACAAGTCCATCACATGGTCTACATTAGGTCATTCTGACACATCAGACATCTGGTCAGGCTGACACACATCAATGGTCTGGTCCACATCTGGTTGGGCTGACACACATCGGACATCAGGTCAGGTTGACACACATCAGACATATATAGACTGATACACATCAGACATCAGGTGACACTCGTCACTCATCAAACAACGAATCAGAGTGCAGACTCCTGTCACGGAGCTCTTTTGCAGGTGAACCAAGAAAAAGTATCTGTAAAAAAAACAACAACAAAGGTGATCATTTCTATAGACTCCTTTACTCTGGCAATCTAGATGGTGCTATTAGTTTTATGAATTCCTTTACTCTGGCAATCTAGATGATGCTATTAGTTTTATGAATTCCTTTACTCTGGCAATCTAGATGGTGCTATTAGTTTTATGAATTCCTTTACTCTGGCAATCTAGATGGTGCTATTAGTTCTATGAATTCCTTTACTCTGGCAATCTAGATGATGCTATTAGTTTTATGAATTCCTTTACTCTGGCAATCTAGATGGTGCTATTAGTTTTATGAATTCCTTTACTCTGGCAATCTAGATGATGCTATTAGTTTTATGAATTCCTTTACTCTGGCAATCTAGATGGTGCTATTAGCTCTATGAATTCCTTTACTCTGGCAATCTAGATGGTGCTATTAGTTCTATGAATTCCTTTACTCTGGCAATCTAGATGATGCTATTAGTTTTATGAATTCCTTTACTCTGGCAATCTAGATGGTGCTATTAGTTTTATGAATTCCTTTACTCTGGCAATCTAGATGATGCTATTAGTTTTATGAATTCCTTTACTCTGGCAATCTAGATGATGCTATTAGTTCTATGAATTCCTTTACTCTGGCAATCTAGATGATGCTATTAGTTCTATGAATTCCTTTACTCTGGCAATCTAGATGATGCTATTAGTTCTATGAATTCCTTTACTCTGGCAATCTAGATGATGCTATTAGTTTTATGAATTCCTTTACTCTGGCAATCTAGATGATGCTATTAGTTCTATGAATTCCTTTACTCTGGCAATCTAGATGATGCTATTAGTTCTATGAATTCCTTTACTCTGGCAATCTAGATGATGCTATTAGTTCTATGAATTCCTTTACTCTGGCAATCTAGATGATGCTATTAGTTCTATGAATTCCTTTACTCTGGCAATCTAGATGATGCTATTAGTTCTATGAATTCCTTTACTCTGGCAATCTAGATGATGCTATTAGTTTTATGAATTCCTTTACTCTGGCAATCTAGATGATGCTATTAGTTCTATGAATTCCTTTACTCTGGCAATCTAGATGATGCTATTAGTTCTATGAATTCCTTTACTCTGGCAATCTAGATGATGCTATTAGTTTTATGAATTCCTTTACTCTGGCAATCTAGATGATGCTATTAGTTCTATGAATTCCTTTACTCTGGCAATCTAGATGGTGCTATTAGTTCTATGAATTCCTTTACTCTGGCAATCTAGATGATGCTATTAGTTCTATGAATTCCTTTACTCTGGCAATCTAGATGGTGCTATTAGTTCTATGAATTCCTTTACTCTGGCAATCTAGATGATGCTATTAGTTCTATGAATTCCTTTACTCTGGCAATCTAGATGGTGCTATTAGTTCTATGAATTCCTTTACTCTGGCAATCTAGATGATGCTATTAGTTCTATGAATTCCTTTACTCTGGCAATCTAGATGGTGCTATTAGTTCTATGAATTCCTTTACTCTGGCAATCTAGATGATGCTATTAGTTCTATGAATTCCTTTACTCTGGCAATCTAGATGGTGCTATTAGTTCTATGAATTCCTTTACTCTGGCAATCTAGATGATGCTATTAGTTCTATGAATTCCTTTACTCTGGCAATCTAGATGATGCTATTAGTTTTATGAATTCCTTTACTCTGGCAATCTAGATGATGCTATTAGTTCTATGAATTCCTTTACTCTGGCAATCTAGATGGTGCTATTAGTTCTATGAATTCCTTTACTCTGGCAATCTAGATGATGCTATTAGTTCTATGAATTCCTTTACTCTGGCAATCTAGATGGTGCTATTAGTTCTATGAATTCCTTTACTCTGGCAATCTAGATGATGCTATTAGTTCTATGAATTCCTTTACTCTGGCAATCTAGATGATGCTATTAGTTTTATGAATTCCTTTACTCTGGCAATCTAGATGATGCTATTAGTTCTATGAATTCCTTTACTCTGGCAATCTAGATGATGCTATTAGTTCTATGAATTCCTTTACTCTGGCAATCTAGATTGTGCTATTAGTTCTATGAATTCCTTTACTTTTGCAATCTAGATGATGCTATTAGTTCTATGAATTCCTTTACTTTTGCAACCTAGTTGATGCTATTAGTTCTATGAATTCCTTTACTTTTGCAATCTAGATGATGCTATTAGTTATATGCATTCCTTTACGTTTGCAACCTAGATGATGCTATTAGTTCTATGAATTCCTTTACTTTTGCAACCTAGATGATGCTATTAGTTCTATGAATTCCTTTACTTTTGCAATCTAGATGATGCTATTAGTTCCATGAATTCCTTTACTTTGACTCTCTGTGATGCTATTATTTCCCCTAGTTAAAATATTGTTTAATAGAAAATGTATTCAATCAACAGTACACTTGACAATCCTGGGGACGATGATGACAATCAACATGGCGGATACAACGTGAAGTTCGATGGGTTTTACAAATTTTATTTGCAAATATTTTAAGATTTAAAAATGTTATGATATTAAAGATGTTATATGTATGATAACAGGCATGTCGAGTTTATGTATGATAACAGGCATGTCGAGTTTATGTATGATAACAGGCATGTCGAGTTTATGTATGATAACAAGCATGTCGAGTTTATGTATGATAACAGGCATGTCGAGTTTATGTATGATAACAGGCATGTCGAGTTTATGTATGATAACAGGCATGTCGAGTTTATGTATGATAACAGGCATGTCGAGTTTATGTATGATAACAGGCATGTCGAGTTTATGTATGATAACAGGCATGTCGAGTTTATGTATGATAACAGGCATGTCGAGTTTATGTATGATAACAGGCATGTCGAGTTTATGTATGATAACAGGCATGTCGAGTTTATGTATGATAACAGGCATGTCGAGTTTATGTATGATAACAGGCATGTCGAGTTTATGTATGATAACAGGCATGTCGAGTTTATGTATGATAACAGGCATGTCGAGTTTATGTATGATAACAGGCATGTCAAGTATATGTATGATAACAGGCATGTAGAGTTTATGTATGATAACAGGCATGTCAAGTATATGTATGATAACAGGCATGTCGAGTTTATGTATGATAACAGGCATGTCAAGTATATGTATGATAACAGGCATGTCGAGTTTATGTATGATAACAGGCATGTCAAGTTTATCTTAAATCACTTGTCAAAAGAAAACTCGTCAATTTTTTTTTTCTTTTATTTTTTTTTCCCAAGGGAAACAACTCATTTAAAGAAATGTAGGAGTAGTTACCCTTTGAGAGACTCTTGTCAAGCGTCGCAGAGTTTCCCCCAACTTGTCCGTGCCGTTTTTCAAAGCTCAGTACCACAACCCAATCACGATCCAACAACGACATGACCAACATGGCACTTACGTGTATCTAAAGGTGGACTTTGTTTGATTTTTTTACCTGTTCACTGACCCGCTGACCATACCGGCAGTAGTTGGCAAAGTGTTCACAGTTTCGGCTGAGCAGGTTGTAGCTGACGCTGCCCACACACATCTTAGCTTTCTGTACGATCTTCTCGGGACTGCGGGGTCTGAACGATTGAGTAGAACACACGATAGAACTTTGCAGTACTGAACGATTGGGTAGAACACACGATAGAACTTTGCAGTACTGAACGATTGGGTAGAACACACGATAGAACTTTGCAGTACTGAACGATTGGGTAGAACACACGATAGAACTTGCAGTACAGTTTTTAAAAAATCTGTATCCTTACATTTTATAATATGACAATTAAAATAAATTTACTGTGAGGCCTGGAAATAACGCAAAGCCCTGGGGACCTAAGCAGAAACGGTGCTTTTTCCGAAAGTTCAGCCAGTGTTTAAAAAAAAAAAACCTGTACCTTTCCTGAGCGCATGAGAACGTATGCCAGGGACCTCGCTGTTTCTTAATAAAGCAGTTATTAAAACATGTGTTTTTCAGCAAAATTTATTACATACGCATTTGTGTAGCTTGACCAAACGCTGACCGGGGGGGGGGGGGCTAACTCGCACAAGTGAGTCTCCTTCAAGCACACAAACACACGGACTATTTAACAATGCTATAGGTATATATAAACCATAAACATAGAGAATAGCAATTTAAATAAAACCTGCCTGAAAATTCAGGGGGGGGGGTGTTGGGCAATGCCCCACCCTGCCCTACCCAAATGACGTCCCTGATTACACTCAAGGAATCTCCTGGAGGGCGCCATACGCTGTGACAGCTCGCCAATCTGTACCTCCCTCGACGCCTCGCCCAGTAGAAGCGTAGTAGGGAAGCATACTAATCTAATTAAATGATTGACACACCCCCCTCCCCCCGCGCGCATGTTGAGATCACCCGGAAGCTGAACGTACGTGTATCTGAAATCCCTTTCATTGGCGATGTAGACCTTGGATTTCCCGGCCACCGACATCAGATCGTCCACACAGATCTTGCCACAGCTCTTGTCCATCGGCTTTTCTTTTGTTATGTGTACGACCTTGCTGTCACCTGACATTGGACGAAGCAAGCCGTTGGTGTAATGCCATGGTGTGAGGAATAGTGTATCAAATGCCATGGTGTGAGGAATAGTGTATCAAATGCCATGGTGTGAGGAATAGTGTATCAAATTCCATTGTGTGAGAAATAGTGTATCAAATGCCATGGTGTGAGGAATAGTGTATCAAATGCCATTGTGTGAGGAATAGTGTATCAAATGCCATGGTGTGAGGAATAGTGTATCAAATGCCATGGTGTGAGGAATGGTGTATCAAATGCCATGGTGTGAGGAATAGTGTATCAAATGCCATGGTGTGAGGAATAGTGTATCAAATGCCAGTGTGTGAGGAATAATGTATCAAATGTCATTGTGTGAGGGATAGTGTATCAAATTTCATGGTGTGAGGAATAGTGTATCAAATGCCACGGTGTGAGGAATAGTGTATCAAATGTCATGGTGTGTGGAATAGTGTATCAAATTTCATGGTGTGAGGAATAATGTATCAAATGCCATGGTGTGTGGAATGGTGTATCAAATTTCATGGTGTGAGGAATAGTGTTTCAAATGCCATTGTGTTACAGGAATAGTTTATTAAATGCCATGGTGTGAGGAATAGTGTATCAAATGCCAGTGTATGAGGAATAGTGTATCAAATGTCATTCTGTGAGGGATAGTGTATCAAATGCCATGGTGTGAGGAATAGTGTATCAAATGCCAGTGTGTGAGGAATAGTGTATCAAATGTCATTCTGTGAGGGATAGTGTATCAAATGCCATTGTGTGATGAATAGTGTACCACATAGCTTTTATTAAGTAACTTTAATTTATATTCATATGAATGTTTTTGTTTTGTTGTCGTACAGACGAAGGCGTTTGCCGAAACGTTTATATTTGTATTCTTTATAATCATCATCAAAGCAAAACTTGTGTTGTTTTATTTGCACAAAATGTCTGTATCTAAATAATCCACTTGAAAGCTTTATCTTAGTCCCACACTGCCACACGTAGCTCATGACGTTATGGGTATCACATTGTCTACATCTACGAAATTATTCACTGCACTATGTTTTTTTCATGGGTTTGTGTACATGACAGTATGAATTTTCCCATAAGTTTGTATATATGACAGTATGATTTTTTAAAAAAATATTTAAGATGATGTCATTTTTGTATGTCTGTTCTTCAATAACTTTGTTTGTGATATTTAAGTAGAGCATACAAAGATGATACAGACATTTACAACTACCTACCAATGTAAACAGCCCAGTGATCGTACAGATGTCGATCGAACCTCACCAGGTCGCCCGGTTTCAGAAACCTCATGACGTAATTGTTCCTGGCTTTGATTCGAGCAGACGACGTGCTGTCACTCTTCTTAACAGGGCTCGCCGCCATCTTGGACGCTCACACCACAACACGCTCTCCCTCAGGCCTACACCCACATGATGTCCGCGATTCAAGGCACTCTCGGAAACAGTCGATTTTCTTCTTTTGTGAATTGTCTTATTTAAACGGTGATTTGATGGTGTCCGTAATCCCTAACACAGTCCACAGACGGCGTGGCCTTCGCCTGGCCCTGAAAGCTTAATGATGTCGTCTTTTATTTTTAAGCCTAAGCATGTTACTAATGTTACACTATTTATTTACTTTACGTCATCTGAACGCATTCCGTTGAGTGTTATCTTTTATATATAATGATACTCCAGTTATCTGTGATCTGCCAGATATCACGTTGAGAACATTGTTGACGCTGACGTCATCACTGTGCGCTAACTTGAGTAGGTGCACAGTAGGCCTAGGTGCACAGTAGGCCTAGGTGCACAGTAGGCCTACATGAAGCGTGCTATCAGTGTGTCCTACTGACCCTCCGCCACCGGGTACCAAGATAGCCATGACTTAAACAACGGATGTGAAGCCAGTGGTGTAGCTAGGGCTAGTTGCCACGAGTGTAGCTAGGGTCAGTGCCATCCGTGTAGCTAGGGTCAGTGCCATCCGTGTAGCTAGGGTCAGTGCCATCCGTGTAGCTAGGGCTAGTTGCCACGAGTGTAACTAGGGTCAGTGCCATCCGTGTAGCTAGGGTCAGTGCCATCCGTGTAGCTAGGGTCAGTGCCATCCGTGTAGCTAGGGTCAGTGCCATCCGTGTAGCTAGGGTCAGTGAATCCGTGTAGCTAGGGTCAGTGCCATCCGTGTAGCTAGGTTCAGTGCCATCGGTGTAGCTAGGGTCAGTGCCATCCGTGTAGCTAGGGTTAGTCCCGCCTATGTAGCTAAGATTAGTTCCGCCTGACGCAAGGCAAGATTTCTGCTACCCACTTTCCACGAAAAAATCCTGCCCTTGGACATAAAGAATAAAAGGACCACCGGGAGCGGACCACCCGCAAGCCCCCCCCCCACCTTTTTTTTTTCTACGCCCCTGTGTGTAGCTGTGATATTGTCCGCCTGTCGCAAGGCAAGATTTCTGCTACCCACTTTCCCCGAAAAAATCCTGCCCTTGGACATAAAGAATAAAAGGACCACCGGGAGCGGACCACCCGCAAGCCCCCCCCCCACCTTTTTTTTTTCTACGCCCCTGTGTGTAGCTGTGATATTGTTAAGCCAGACTTCTTACTCTAGAGATTCTCAAAAATGTAAGGAGGAAAGCTTCTCACAGAATATTTTTTTAATCATTTTTATTCAAAGACATAGACATACAAGTCAGACATACAAATATAGACGTACAAACATAGACATACAAATATAGACGTACAAAAATAGACATACAAAAATATAGACATACAAACGACACGTACAATTTATTATACCCCATTTAAATGAAGACAGAATAATCCAGTAAAAAGATGAAAATCATTATGTATCACAATGTATGTAAAACAAACAGTATACAGATACCACAAAAATCAGTATACAGGTACTACAAACATCAGTATACAGGTACCACCAACATCAGTATACATGTACCACCAACATCAGTATACAGGTACCACAAACATCAGTATACATGTACCACAAACATCAGTAGACAGGTACCACAAACATCAGTATACAGGTACCACAAACATCAGTTTACAGGTACCACAAACATCAGTATACAGGTACCACAACATCAGTATACAGGTACCACAAACATCAGTATACAGATACCACAAACATCAGTTTACATGTACCATAAACATCAGTATACAGGTACCACCAACATCAGTATACATGTACCACCAACATCAGTATACAGGTACCACAAACATCAGTATACATGTACCACAAACATCAGTAGACAGGTACCACAAACATCAGTATACAGGTACCACAAACATCAGTTTACAGGTACCACAAACATCAGTATACAGGTACCACAAACATCAGTATACAGGTACCACAAACATGAGTATGCAGGTACCACCAACATCAGTATACAGGTACCACCAACATCAGTATACAGGCATGGGCGCCCGTAGAAAACTTTCTAGGGGGGGGGGGACAAAAAAATCGATTAACTTTCCAGAGGGGGGGGGGCAAAAATTTTTTAGTAATGTTTTAATATAGTTTTAATTTACTGTGGCGTATTTGTATGGTGAACGAACGGACAGGACATCAGCTTAGTTACTGTCTCTTTATTTTCTCTTTACTTTAATAAATTTTTTGTCTATTTTTGTCTAAAATTTTTTTATCCAACCATACGGGGGGGGGGAGTGCCCCCTTTGCCCCCCCCCCCTGTGGGTGCCCATGTATACAGATACCACAAAAAAAACAACACAATTCTGAAATAGCCTAAGTAAACACCAAAATTAACTACCCCCTTTTCCCCCCTCACCAAGGAACGAAACAATTCATCACAGAAAAAGAAAAAAAAATTATCGCAGAGATAAACACAAACCAAACTATCAAACCATTTCTAAATTGCAATCATTTTTATTAGCTATGACCGCACCCCCCTCCCCCCCCCTCCCCCCTCCCCTTTTTTTAAAAGATCTCCAGTCTATTTCAAACGACAAAAAGTCATGATTAATCGCTGCGATTAGGATTGCCTTTGAACAGATCACATTTGTAATGTCAACTTACAAATTAAATAATCACCATAAGAAGTTATTGACGTATATATTATTTTAATGTGGACTGCTCATAAACCTGCCATTATAACCAGTTGCATTTGGTTTGAGCAAGGACCGAGCTGATGTCTGGTTTATTCAACCATACGCCCGCCACTGAAAAAGCTTCGCTCACCTGGCAGAGGTCACCAAGTACATATCTGGCAAGTACTATTTACAGCTAAGTTTTGTACGTTTTCTCTTTAGTTTCAACTTTTGTTTATTTCTAAAACTTGACATTGAGTGTTTCAGAAAATAAAAAAATATTTTTTTTTAAATAAATAAATAAAATAAGAACACACTCAGTAATTCCAACAGGCTGACAAAATACAAATGGGGTCGCAAGTGACTAGGGTTGCCTACCAAAATGAGAGAAATAAAATTAAACAAATTAATAAAAAATGACTTCTTTTTTTTTTTACCCATTTATAAGGTTAACAAAATAATATTTTACAAAATGTTCTAATATCTTTTAATAATTAATTTAAATGTATTTAATTTTTAAATAAGGTTTTTGAAACCAAATATATCGGATTCCAAAACACTCAAAAAATAAATATTGAAGGCTGCGCAGGGATTGGGGTCCTAATGCAATCCCAGGCCACGCCGGCAGGCCCGTTCTTAGGCATACGCTGACCACGCATCAGCGTAGGGCCCCGAACGTGAGGGGGCCCCCGTGAGGCGCCCTCGATCCCCCCGGTTTTTTGTTTTTTTTTACTGGCACTGCAGCCGTCTGTGTCACTCACGTTACCTTCCTCATCCTGAAATTTATCATTCTGAGTTGAATTCGGTGCCGCAGTGGTGGGTGGTGTTTTCTCCTCAGCCCGAGGGAGCTCCACCCCGCCCCCCTCCGGGGCCCCCAACCTACGCTCCATGCTTAGGACCCCCCAAAACTCCTAAGAACAGCTCTGACGCCGCAATGTTCCCTTTCAGCTGCGCAGACGCCTCGCAGCAGCTTTGAGTATCCGCGCAGCAGATTCCCATGTAAGTGTGTGTTTGTTGGCTGTCAAATTTTTCACACAAAAAAATTGATGCTGAAAAACTTTGCACACAACTGTATGATTTTGCAAACCTTAAAGGGAACATTGCACGTCGGGTATATTGGCTAGTGTACATATATATATATATATATATATAAATATANTACAAGTTTTAAATTGTTAGAGTTGTGTATCTTTGAAGAAGAGCAAAATTTGACAGGCCGTGTGTGGAGTGCCATTATTTGAGACTCGCTGTGCTGGAGGGAAATCCATCAGTATAGCGCTGCCTTTTCTTGTAGACCCCAAGATCAGCAGTTTACTTTTCTAAACGTGCATCAGTCGATCCAGTGCCCCCCTCTTCTCCAGTCGTCCTGCCTCCACACCCGACACGACACCTCCTCGTACCGGACTTACCCTAAAAAAAGATCGGCATCGTCTCGGGGGAGCTGCCACCAGCCGTCGCTCAGTGTTCAAGACGCGTAAACTGGTTGGTCTCAGAACCAGTCAGAACGATGATTGTCTTCATAATGAATAGTGCATTTTTTTTTTTAATAGTAACTTGTAAAATTATGGATCAATTAAATAAAACATAACTTGAAAATAAATGGAACAATAGACAAAACGTGTCAGTTATTATAGTTTCTGTCAAAGCCCATTTATGCATTATATATATATATATATATATATATTTATATATATATATATATTTATATATAAGTTGGGGGATTAACACCAGCATGGAAGCGTAAAACCATGGATTGATCAGAATGGAAGGATGTGGCGGAGCAGGTCAGGACCCTTCATGGGGGCTGTGGCGCCACTAATGAAAATGGGGATGAGAATGGTCAACTGAAGAATGCACCATTATTATACAACTTTAACACCACAATGTCCTTTTTTTGTTTTTGTTACGCAGATTAGACTCTACCATGGCTCAAGGCACCCCAAACACTTTCTTCGGTGTCCTGTTGGTGTGGATGTGCTCAATCGGGACCCTGGAGACGATGGATCAGTTACCCTCTGAAGGAGGTTTGGAAGCGCCCCAGGTCCCCTCGCTCAAGCTTCCCATCATCTCCAAACTCTGCAACATGGGACAAATTGTGAACTCATTCAGTGTTCAAAGAACTGTTGACAATAGAACGGAGGTGAAAATTGGTTGTCAGAAAGCAAATTACAAGGTTGACAGCGAGCAAAGAACAGCCAGTAGGTATCGCAACTATTGTTTGATTCTGTTGTTTCAGCCTGAGACCCTCTGTATAATAATATGTCATCCATGCATTACGACCTTCAAGCTGTATGATATCCCAACCTGATAATGACTCATCACGCTGCATGTCATCACAAATTGATACTGGCACATCACACTGCATGTCATCTCTACCTGATACTGGCACAATACTATGAATGTCATCTCTATCTGATACTGACACATCACACTGCATGTCATCACAACCTTAAACTGACACATCACACTGCATGTCATCTCAACCTGATTCTGACACATCACACTGCATGTCATCTCAACCTGATATTGACACATAACACTGCATGTCATCACAACCTGATACTGAAACATCACCCTGCATGTCATCTCAAACTGATACTGACACATCACACTGCATGTCATCTCAACCTGATACTGATA